TGTTAGGAGGAAATTATTTCCTGAGAGGGAGCAGCTTGTGGATGCCCCCGCCCTGGAGGCATTCAGTGCCAGGCAGGACGGGGCTGTGGGAGGTGTCCCAGCCTGGAGCAGGGGATTGGAACTGGATGATCTGAAAGGTCTCTTGTAAGCCAAGCCATTCGGTGGTTCTGTGATCCTTTGGGAACTGCAGAGGAGAATGGCTTGAAGGAAACAGGAGCACTGCAGATGCAGTGTGCAGTTCAGAGAGCACCTCTGTGCAGTGAGAGCAGGGAGCGCCTGAAGCAATACGGCCCAGACACAGAGAGCAGCTCAGAACGGTGATGGAACCGTGGAAACACGAGGCTGGAGTGGAGCTACAAGATCATCCCATCCAACCGTCCTCCTCCCACCGCTACCACCGCTGAGCTACTCAGCTTTATCTTGTGGCACCTCGACCAGAGTGTCAGTGGTCTGTGGGCTGGTTCGGCCTGGTTCCGTGACTGGCAGGAGGGGGGATCTGTGGATCCGCACCCTGCAAAATGGAAATGGGAAAAAGGATGAAGAGATGGGCTCTGAAACAGAACAGAAGCGACGATCTGAAAGGAAACAAACTAATTTGCTAGAAAAGATATCGGAATGCCAGATAACACTCTGTAATACAAAATAATACAAGATCATTAGAATATGAGCTAAAAAATCAAATGCAAAGAGAGAGAGTGTCCAAAAGCCAAAGGCCTTACGCTCATGCTGAGGCAGACGGGCAGCAGAGGTGAGCCAGACGATGAAAAGGGCCATCAGGTGACCTCCCAAGGCCTTCTGTCTTTTCCCTCTGAGCAGAAATGGTAACAGAACAGTGAACAGCACCCCACGGCCAAGAGGACCCAGTGTCCGTGTTCACATATCCTCATCCCTGACACCGAAGGGATTCTGGTGCCTTTGTTTGGGTGCAGAATGTACACCCGTGGGCAAGGGGACCCTCTGTCCATGTCCCTGTAGTGTAGTGACAGAGCTCAGGGGGCTTTGGCATCAACGTCCCCCCCGTAGCCAAGAGGGACCCAATGTCCACGTCGCCATACCCGTGTCCCCCGTGCCAAGGCAACCTCGGTGTCACCCATGGAGGACAGAAGGTGTCCGGGTGCCACGTCCCCATGTCATTGTTGCCAGGAGCCAAGGAGACCTCAGTACCACTTTCTTTGGGGTACGGTAAGGACGCCCGGTGCGTCCTCGTCCCCATGACAAAAGGAGCCCGGTGTCCTGGTCCAGGTTTTCCTGTCCTCAGGGCCGAGGGGACCTCAGTGTCACCTTTGGGGTACCAGAAGGGTCCCCCACATCCATGTCCCCGATGCCAAAGGGACACCGCTGTCACCTCTGGGGTCCAAGTGTCCATCTCCGTGTGTTTGTGGCACAGAAGGGTCCCCGACATCCCCAGTGCTGAGAGGACCTCACTGTCACCGTGGGACTACAGAACAGGGTGAGGCGTTCATGTCACCGCCATGTTATCCCAGTGCTAAAGGGACGTCCGTGTCACTTTCAGGGTACATAAGGGCCCCAAGCGTGTGTGCGCCCTATGTCCGTGAGCCTGTGCCCAAGGGGATCCCATGTGCACGTCCCCATGTCCCCAATGCAAAAGGGATTTTGGTGCCCTTTTTTTGGATACAGAAGGGAATCCTGTGCCCACGTCACTGCAGCCGGGGGCTCCTCCAGGAGTGCGCATCCCCACGTCCCCAGCACAGAGGGGACCTCACCGTCACCTCCGGGGTACAGAAGGGCCCCCGACGGCATTTCGGGGGTTCGTCGCCCTCCCTCACTCCCCCCAGCCCTCCCCCAGCTCCTCCAGCACCTCCCGCATGGTCCCCCGTCCCCCCCCCCCGACCCGAACACGCGATCGAAGCGCTTCTCCCGGTCCCACACGCAGCGCCCGCGGTAGCGGATGCGCACGATGCGGTGTTCGGGCACCGCCAGGTCCGCGGGCCCCGCGTCGCACAGCGGCCCCGTGAAGAACTCCAGCAGCGGCCGCTCCACGACGCCCACGAAGCGGTCGCGGTACTCCACGGTGGCGGCCGCGGGGTCCGCTCGAGGGTCCCAGCGGAGGCGGCTGAGGACGGCGGCGGCGCGGCGCAGCGGCGGCTTCTTCCCCGCCGCTCCCGGTTCCTCCCGCGTCGCTGCCGGTTCCGGGCCGGCGGTCGGACTCCGCCCCGGGTGCGGGCGGCGGCAGCGCGGCCCGAAACGGCAGCGGCCCTCCAGGAACCAACGGCACGGGGCGGGCGCCGGGGCCGGAACCGGTTCCGCGCCGCCGGGACGCCGATCCGGGTCCGGGTCCTCGGGACCGCGATTCAGATCGGGCTCCGCGTCCGCGGGTCCGGGCGCCGGGTCCGCGCCCGCGTTCGGGTCTGGTTCCGCGAGTCCGGAGCGCGGCTCCGGTCCCGGCTGCGGGGATCCGGGCCGCAGACCGCCGTCCATGGGTCCGCGGTGCGGGTCCGGGTGCGGCAGCGGGCCCGTGAGTCCGGGGGCCGGAACCGGGTCCGTTCGGTGGCTTCGGGAGCGGCACCGGGCGCGGTGCGGGCAAAGAGCAGCGTGGTACGGGGCGGGGCCAGGACAGAAAGGGGGCGTGGCTGATGGCACGAAGGGGCGTGGTTAACGACGGCGATGGGCGTGGCTGGAATCGGACCGACGGCGTGCGGGGGCGTGGCCAAACGGAAAGGGCGTGGTTTAGGCAAAAAGCGACGGGCGCAGGGCATGGGGGCGTGGCCAGGAATGTTAGGGGCGTGGCTTCAAAACTGAGACGCCCCGGGGGGCGTGGCCAGGTTACGGCGCGGGGCGTGGCCAAGGAGCTGCACCGGTGCCTATGGGCGTCTGGTTGTGTTTGACCTGAATGAGTATCAGTGCAGCCATTTACATCCCACTCCCCCCCCCATGGTCCACGGCACCATTTATTGCCTTTTCACCTCCAATTTCCCTCACTGCACCGGGTCAACTGCCCCCATCTCTTCTTAATTTTGAGTTTTTCCCTCCCTTCCTTCCTTCATTGCCTCCTTCCTTCTTTCCTCCCTGCCTTCCTTCTTATCTCCCTCCCTCCCTCCCTCCCTGCCTCCCTTCCTACTTTCCTTGCATTCTCCTCATGAGAGGCAGATGAGGCAACACGGAGCCTTCCATGGGCAGCAGCTGTTAGGATGAGCCCTCGGTGGGGAGTGTTTGATGAGAATGTGTGCTTGGTTCAGGGCGTAGGGATGGAGCAGGCTCCCTCTGCACGCGGGGTTTTGAAAGACATTCCAAATGAAGCTGACAGCCGCTGGGACTTCCCTTTGGAGCCCTTTTTCATACCGACCCGAGCTGGGGTTGGCGTTTGGATCACGGAATCAATAAGGTTGGAAAATGTGAGAGGCGGGTGGTGTTTTTGCAGTGGAAGTTTCCAGTGTTTTCTGTCTGTAGTCTCGGCCCTGACCGAACTGAAAACCTTCCTGCGAAACAGTGATACAAGTTGTTTTTCACCAAGAAAGCTGCTGAACGGAGTAAAGTGCAGATTGGGGCGTTTCGGCTCAGGTAGGATTGAGACAGGCACGAGGCAAAGGAAACAGGCAGGGCGGGGAGAGCCTAGCGCAGCACGGAACCAATGTGCTTCCCTTTGGAAACACTGCCCTCCTACCTGTGTAGGAAAGCACAGGCCATACCTAAAAACAACCAGTTGGTACCAGACCTTCTATTGTGGCAACAGCGTCGGGAAGATGGTGACCAGGAGAAGCTCCACCAACCTGTGCCAGGAGAGGAATTACCGCGTCGGACCCGGGGATGGAACTGAACGAATGGACTGCTGTGCAATTTCTGCCTTTGGCCAGCAGGGGCCCATTGTTGCAATGATGGACAGACTTTGCTGCTATCACAAAGATCTTTGCCTGCTTAAAAATCTACGATTCGCAGCGTTTTCCTCAGCGATGGATGACACAGGGAACACGCGGTGATCACGAGGGGTGGGATCATGGCGAGGCCGTGGGGCGACCGCGGGCTGAGCACGGGATGACAGTGAAGGGAACACAGAGGGAAACACCATAGGATCACGGGGAGGAGCGTCAGGTGGGAATGAGGTTGTGAAGAGGTGGGCATGGGGTGGCCATGGGGCAAGACGTGTCAGCGCCCTCCACCCAACGCCCAGCCAATCCCCGAGCGTCAAGCATCGTCTGTATTCTGCCCAACTCCACACAGCTTTAAGGCCTTCCGCATGGCGTCATGTATGCTTGGATGAGGACACCTGTCCTGGCTCCACGTCATCATGGCAATGGTTCTTCCCCTCTCCGTGGCCCGGCCCGGCCTCAGGAGCGCTCCATCACTCAGCAACAGCCAAAAAAGCAGCGTGCTACTCGCAGTGTCTGAGCTGGAACCAGAACACTGCGAGGTCATTTCGATGGGAACACCGAGTGATCGCCAGGTGTCACGGCCTAAGCGTAACACAGCCAGGAGATGGGTGAGAAAGTGGGTGCAGAATGTGTGTCTCCGGGATGACCGCGGGGTAATGATGGTGAGGACATGGGTTGGCATGCTGAGAACACGGTGGCGACATCGGGTGACCACAGGGTTGCTAGGAAGGAGTCTCAGGGGGAAAAATGGCTTGAGAGTGAAGGGATCGGAAGGGGAAAGTCTGGCCAGTGTGGGGTGAGCACGGGTAACCCTGTGGGTCATATGAGGCAAAGATGGTGTTGTGATGGGTGATGGGGTGACAAAGAGGTGACCACTGGGTGACCACGGTGGGGTGTCATTGGGTGACCACAGTAAGGAAGGGGAAGGACCACGGAGTCAACAGCTCAGCGAGTTCTAATTGAGAAGGGGACAGAGCAGGCTGTGCAGGGGCAGCAGGGAACGCGGTGACAACGCAAAGGGAAACTCTAGCTCCTGGCTGGGGAGCGCAGGACATGCTGGTGGAGCAGCAGCTGCTAGTTGAGGATCCCTGCAGGGAAAGGGGGAGAAATGAGGACCGCAGTGAGCTTGGGGCTCCTGGGTACAGCGCTGTCACTGGGGGAATGAGAAATTACCTGGAGTGGTTGGATCAGGGTGCCCTGAAACTGAGCGAGACGAGGTCATGGTCACATTGAGCGAGCGTGGCCACAGCTCACCGCCGCCATCTCCTTCCCCAGAGCACAGCCCCGCTGCCCCACTGCTCACCTTTCTTAGTGTGCAGGAAGAGGAAGAGCCCCAGCGCCAGGTAGACGAGCCCCACCACAAAGCCCCCGATGCCCACCAGCAGCTTGCTCCTGCCCACATCCACCAGCGGCTCTGCAGGGACAGGAAGGGGAGCTCAGGTTCTGAAGGCCACGCTCCCACTCCCCCCAGAGCCGACAGGGGCGAGGGGCCTTACCCCAGGGCTGGCCGATGGGCTGCCGCAGGCTGCTGTGCTCCACCCGGCACGCGTAGCTGTCCCCGTGCCGTGGGCTGGTCTCCAGCAGCACCAGCACCTGGTAGGTCCAGTCCCCGTTCTGGATCACGTCCGTGGACACGACGCGCTCCGTCTCCTCCCGCCCATTCTGGAACCACTTCACTTCGATCTCGGGTGGGTAGAAGCCCGTCACGTAGCAAGCCAGCCGGTCGCTTTGGGGCTGGGAGCCCGACTGCAGCGCACAGATCCTCACCTTGGGCTCTGCCGGGGGACAGAGGGAGAGCGTTGGGGACGGGCTGTGAGAGCGCCGCGTGTGCTCATCAGCGCTGTGCCCGTCGCGAGCTGTGCGGACGCGTGAACTCACCTCTCTTCCGCAGCGTCACAGGGGCCACTGTCTCGTGGTTGTAGTTGCAGAGCATTTCCACCGCAGCCCTGTTCTTCTCCAGCACGTCCGGCTGGCTGTTGAAGAGCCGAGCAGAAGGCTCTCCCAGGACCGTGTCGGCCACGAAGAGACCGACGTCGCTGTCGAAGTGCACGTACTGCTGCCGGTTGTAGACGTGCCTCACCAGAAACCTCGTCCGCTCGGTGCCATTGAGGAAGCGGCACTCAACTGTAGCGCTCCACTGGAAAAACGCTGCGGGGAGAGGGCGCCGTCACGGAGCGCAGCGGCCCCTCGCCGGACCCGAGAGCCCCTCCCCGCCCTCGCTCCGTCCCGGCCCCACCCCGCGCCCCCCACGGCTGCGGTGCCGCTGGCGTCCCGGAGCCCCGGGGCTCCGAACGCCGCGCGCGGGGCTGGGATGGGTGCCGGGAGAGCCCGGCAGGGACCGGCCTGCACCATCCCCACCCCGGCTCTCCGCGCTCACCCGAGGGCCGCGTGCCAGCGGCCAGCCGTGCTCCCAGCGCCACCGATGCCACCAGCACGGCCCCGGCCGCCACCGCACGGCCGCTCCCCATGGCTGCTGTGGGAGGAGGATGAAGGGAACAGGGAGTGCCTGGGCTGGGCAGCATCACCCGTCTCCGGGCAGATCTCCATTGCGGGTACCTCGATCAGCCCTGGCGTGACGGCGCCGTCCTGCGTGCCGTCCGTCTGTGTGTCTGTCTGTCTGTCTGCTCCGAGGAATGCTCGCTGCCGCTGCTCTGCCTGGGAACAGCCGTATCGCTCCCAGTGCTCCACCACTGCCTGAGCCCCACGGGTGGCCCCGTGCTCCCTCCATGACATTGCCACGCTCGCTCAGTGGTTGCCACGCGGTTTCACTGTCCTCGCACCATGCTCAACTCTTTATCATCCCTTTCTCACTCCGTGTTCCGCTCATATTACTCCTGTCGTCTGCGCATGGACACCTGACAGAAATGCCACTGTCTGCCCTTCGTCTTCTCATTGTCACCCGCTGTTTGCTCCAGCACCCTCTTGCTTACTCCACGCTCCCCCCTTTGATCCATGATCCCCACGGTCCAACTTCATGGTCACCCAATGGTCCCCCTGCTCTCCCCGTGGTTATCCCAAGATACCCCGATAATCGCCTCTTTGCCCCCCATTCTTATGGGCTGTTACCTCTGATGTCTTACCGCGGTCACATCATGTTCTCCCCGTGGTCCCCTTTCATCACCCCATGGTCACCCACGGTTGCCCTCACGGACCTCCCAGACCTCACAGCGCTGTTGCGCGGGGCTGCAAACGCTGCAGTGACACAGGTCAGCAGTGGGGCTGGGCTGTGTCCAAGCACCCTTCCTCTGACCAAGCACCCCAAGGACAGGACCCACATAAGGGGATGTGTGGGTCAGGATGGGGATGCGGGGCTATGACGGCACACGGGACGCTCAGCCTCATCACAGCGGGCTCCTGTGGCTGCAGGCACCATTCATCTGCACGACCTTGAGCACGAGGACGGTGCCTGTGTCGATGCTGGCCGTAGCCATGGTCAGGCCTGTGGTGCACACCAGAGTCTCAGTGCTCTTGGAGGTGAGCAGGAGCAGCTGGGGCTGTGCTGGGGGATGCAGTGGTGTTGAGCTGTGACCATGCTGACCTCGTCTCGCTCAGTTTCAGGCCACCCCGATCCAACCACTCCAGGTAATTTCTCATTCCCCAGTGACATCACTGTGCTCAGAGGAGCCCGAAAACCACTCTGGTCCTCCCTTTCCCTGCAGGGATTCTGAATTACGAGCTGCCCCACACTGCTGCTCCACCAGCATGTCCTGCGCTCCCCAGCCAGGAGCTAGAGTTTCCCTTTGTGTTGTCACCGCGTTCCCTGCTGCCCCTGCACAGCCTGCTCTGTCCCCTTCTCAATTAGAACTCGCTGAGCTGTTGACTCCGTGGTCCTTCCCCTTCCTTACTGTGGTCACCCAAAGATACCCCGCTGTGGTCACCCAGTGGTCACCTCTTTGTCACCCCATCACAACACCATCTTTGCCCCATGTGACCCACATGATTACCCATGGTCACCCTATGATGGCCAGACTTTCCCCTTCTGATCCCTGACCTATTTGTCACCACATTCTTATCCACGGTCACCTCATGACTGTGTCGTGTTTTGGCTGTGACACCCCATGATCACCCAGTGTTCCTGTCGCAGTGTCCTCGTTCCAACTCAGACACTCTTTGGTGGCCCAAGGATCTGTAGGGACCCCCATGGAGCTCAGCAGTGGGACGTGGCCATAGTGGGGACCAAATGTCAGAGGCAGTCCTGCAAAGCTGCGCTCTGTCTGCAGACAAATGATGCTGCATGACCCTGCTGTTCCCTGACCCTCGCTCCCCAGCTCCAAACTTGCTGGGAAGCTCCTCTCCAGTAGGTCAACCCTCGCCTGTATGGCTGAAGGCAGTTTTTCCTCCCCCTTCCTATATTTCCTCCTGTTGCAATTCATCACGTTCTTGTCTGCCCAACTGACCGTTCTGTTCACATCTTGTTGAACGGCAGCACAGATTTCTGGTATGTCAGCCACTCCTCCCAGCATTGTACTTGTTGAGGGTGCACTTTATCCCTTCATCCAGGTCACCGAGGAAGATGTTGAACAAGATTGGACCCCTGGGAAACACTGCTAGTTACAGGCCTGCAATCAGATTCTGAACCAATAATCACAACCCTCCGAGCTCTGCCAGTCAATCAGATCACAATCCACCTCACTGTTCTCTCACACTTCCTAGGAATGATTAATTGGGATCATTCTCCTGGCTGGGTGGCCTATAGCAGACTCTCACCTTACTGCCTTGCCCCTTAAACCTTATTTGGAGTCTCACAGCCATGTCACTGGGAACAGCAAGCTCCATGCATTCCAGCCCACCATTACGTACAGCAACACCATCCTGTTTCACCTGCCCTGCCTATCCTGGAGAGCCCGGAGCCATGCAGTGCACACAGCATGCATTTCATAGAACCTTTCCATCACACCTTGCTTATGCTGAGGATGTTGTAACTCCAGGACCAAGCTAAAAGCTTCTAGCTCCTCCTGCTTACACCTCATGCTGTGTGCAGTGCTATAGAAACATTTATAATGTGCTCCAGCCTGCCCAACTCCATGTGGAGCAGATCCAGATGCCTCGTCAACATGCTGTGCCTCCAACTTTGGATGGACACCAAGACCAGAAAAACAATGATGCATAACAACCACGCAGATGGAGACCTGGAGAGCTGCTCGTTTACTGGGGAGCTCTGTATGTGAGGCTGCACCAGTTCCGGGCTGTGCAGAGGTCGCATGTTACAAAGAGGACATACATTGCTGCTGGGTGAATACAAGTGCTGGTAGAACTGGCTGAGTGACAAAGCCCTCCCTGCACAACCTCCTGTGCGCATGTTAGGAATGGAGATGGGGCCTTGTGCCAAACGTGCCTTCCCCCAGAAGCATGCAGGGATCTGGAGTCTGACCTCCTTCCACCTTCCCCAGTCCTTCAACGCTTTGTCTTTTATTGGAGAAAGTAGGGCCAGAGCATAATGAAAACAAAAGCTGCAGGACAACTCAGCTCCTTTATTCTCCTTCCCTGTCCCCTTTCACACTGCACAGAAAGGCCATTTGCCACAGAAGGGATGCAGTGATCAGGGGTATGAGGAGCAGGGCAAACCAAGCTTAACTTCCAAGGCTGGTCTCTTCCACATGACTTGTCGGCGGTCTGACACAAGGATGAAGGGATTGGCTGGTTGCTCTGTGAAAGCTTGCAGGTAGGATGACCTCTTCTGAATGCAGGTCATTTTTGCTAAATCTCCAAGAGACATTGGACTGCTCTCCTGACCCTTCTACACGATTCATCAGTGGACTCCAAAATTACTGAGCGGAACACGTGCACACAGGACATCCCTACACAGCTGAACTTCCTTAAGAAATGGCTTCAAAAAGCTGCTGACAGGAAGAGCAGAAAACTGGGCATGGGGAGAGATTGTATTCTATTAACAGGGAAAGAAACCATCAGAAGCTCCCAGGTGTAAGTCCCTTTTCCAGACAGAGTGCCAGTGATGCCACTTTGTTTTTTCAAACTCTTTCTGTACGGTGGGAAGCGTTTGGGTTTCCATGATCCTTAGGTCTCTGTCATCCTCACGATCTCTCCAGTTTTTCATGGGGTTTTCCCATGAGCAAAGAGGTGCCAGCCCTCAAAGAAACTCCTCCTGCAGGTGAGACACTTGCAGGGTCTACCTCTCACACAGATTAGCCAGCTGTCAATAATGTTGCAGCCCCGGGATGAAACTCTGTCTTTCCAGGTCTCTGCCCGGAATGGATTCTCCGGTACTCAGTCTGGAGCTGTGGTAGAAGCTCTTCTTACATTTGGGACAGAGAGAAAGATCCCACTTGGATGCAGTGGCAAGGAGCCTCAGGAGACCCGAGGCTAACCTCTTGAGTTGAGCATACAGGGGGGCTGAAGAGTGCTACACCCCAACTGAAAAGGAAATCTTGGCCACATATGGGGGGGCTTGGACCTCTTCCGAAGTAGTCAGTATTGAAATGCAGCTCCTTCTGGCACCTCGACTGCCAGTGCTGAACTGGATCTTTAAAGGAAAGGTTCCCTCCATCCATCATGCGACTGATGCCACTTGGAGTAAGTGGGTTGCATTGATTACACAGTGAGCTCAAACGGGGAACCTCAGTCACCCACCAATCTTAGAGGTGATCGTGGACTGACCTGAAGACAAAAAGACTGGAACATCACCAGCAGAAGAGGTACTGTGTGCTAGAGACCCCATCATCCAATGAACTACCAGAAAATGAAAGTAGCCGTTCTCTGATGGATGGTATCCTATTGTTGGGAAGCATTGCAGATGGAAAGCTGCTGTGCGGAGCCCTATATGACAAGTTGCAGAGGCCGCCAAAGGAAAAGGAGAATCAAGCCAATTTGCAGAGGTAGGGGCTGTTCAACTGGCCTTAGATGTTGCTGGGCGGGAGAGGTGGCCAATGATTTATAGTGACTCACGGATAGTGGCAAATGCCTGATGGGGGTGGTGAAAGCAGTGGGAACAAAACAACTGATAAAGAAGGGGTACATCTATTTGAACTGCTGAACGGTGGAAAGACGTTGTTGCCCAAATAAAGAATATGGTTGTAAAGGTGTGTCACATAGATGCTCACGTGCCCAAGAACTGGGCTACTGAAGAACAACAAAATAACCATCAGGTAGATTAAGCCTCTAAACTTAAGGCGGCTCAAATGGACTTGAACTGGCAACACAAGGGTTAATTATTTCTAGCTCAGAGGGGAGGCTTGGCAGGTTGATTCCACCACCTTGCCATGATCTCACAGCAGGAAGCGTTTTGTACTCACCATGGTGGAGGTAACCACTGGGTGGTTTGAAACATACACATACCCCATGCTACTGCCCACAACACCATATTAGGTCTGGAGAAACAAGTCCTGTGGCAACACGGCACTCCAGAAAGGATTGAATCAGATAATGGGTCTCGTTTCCAAAATTCTCTTGTGAACACTTGGGCCAAAGATCATGGCATTGAGGGGATTTATCATATCTCCTATCATGCACCAGCTTCTGGTACAATCAAATGATACGTCTTGTTAAAAACTGTGTTGAAAGCAATGGGTGGCAGCACATTTGAGCACTGGGAGAAGCGCTTGGCAGAAGCCACGTGGTTGGTCAACACTCAAGGATCGGTCAATGGCGATGGTCCAACCCAACCCAGCTCCCTACATAACATACAGGGAGATAAAGTCCCTGCAGTACATATAAAGAGCATCTTGGGAAAAGCACTGTGGGTCCTTGCAGCCTCTGGAAAGGGCAAAACTCACAGTGGAACTGTTTTTGCTCAGCGTGATGCAGAAAGAGGGGATGTTCAATGTGTACCACAAGGGAATTTGACGTTGGCCGAGTGCATTCAGTCATTCCACGTGTATGTACATGTGTGTGTGCTTAGTACAATTATTACAACGTTAATTACATGTTGATACATGCTAACTGAGAACGATCTGTATGTATTTAGATATTGAGCATGATACAGTAATGTGGAATAAGGGATGCAGTGTTAGTTTTATGATGTTTTGTCACCAGTACTCCACACCATTGCATCCAGGCTGGATGTGGCACTGGGCAGCCTGGTCTAATGGTTGGCGCCCTGCCCACGGCAGGGCCTTGAAAATACATACCTTTGAGGTCCTTCTCAACCCAGGCCATTCTATGATTCTGTGATTGTGTGCAGTGCTTTGGGATTTACAGTTACTGCTCTGGGTAGCTGGTTCTGAGAAGAACTACATGCCCCAGGGGACTCTGTGTTTCCATTCACACATCAGAGGTAAAGATAAAAACTGTTTGCACATCACAAGATGTCGCTTTTTTCACTTTCTGCTCGTCCTGGCAGCACGTGTGCTCACCTTCAGCATTACAGCAAGACCTTCAGCTTTCAAACACTCTCTCTCTCTCACTTTTATTTGATTTATTAACTCCAAATCCCATTAGACTGTACTATATTGTGTTATCTTGCGTTCTGATATATTTTCTAGTAAATGAGCTTTCCTCTTCAGATCACTGCCACTGTTTGGATGTTAGGCCCGTCTACCTGTCCTTTGCCCTTTTCCTCCTTCCCCTTTTTCCTTTTCCCATTCTCCCTTTTCTGGGGCATGGATCCGTGGATCCTCCTCCTTCACCAGTCACAGAACCGGGCCAAACCACGTCACAAACTGCTGACATGCGCTTAAAGGGTCTCTCTCCTGTGTGGATGATGGGTGGCAGGTGAGGTAGAAACTAGTTCTGAAGCTCTCGGGACACTCGGGACACTCGAAGGGTCTCTCCCCTGTGTGGATGCGCTGGTGGCGCTTCAATACAGAATTGTATTTGAAGCTCATCTCACACTCATGACACTTAAAGGGTCTCTGTCCTCTGTGGATGCGCTGCTGGTAGGTGAGCTGGGAATTGATTTTGAAGCTCTTTGAACAATCAGGACATGTAAAGGGTCTCTTTTCTGTGTGGATGCGTGTGGTGCTGTAATTGATAAGCAAATTTGAAGCCCTTCCCACACTCAGAGCACTGAAAGGGTCTCACTGCTGTGTGCATTCGCTGGTGACACTTCAGTACAAAACTGTACTTGAAGTGCTTCCCACACTCACAACACTTGAAGGGCCTCTCTCCTGTGTGGATGTGCTGGTGGCACTGCAGTACAGAGCTGTATTTGAAGCCCTTCCCACACTCGCAGTACTTTATGTGCCTCTCTCCTCTGTGTATGCGCTGGTGGCCAGTGAGGTGGGAATTGGTTTTAAAGCTCCTTGGACAATCATGGCACTTGAAGGGTCTCTCCTCTGTGTGGATGCACTGGTGGCAGGTGAGGGGGAAACTGTTCTTGAAGCTCTTTGGACACTCAGAACACCTAAAGGATCTCTCTCCTCTGTGGATGCGCTGATGGAAGGCGAGGTGGGATTTCCATTTGAAGCTTTTGGTACAATCTGAACACTTGTACAATCTCTTCATTGAGCATACACAACAGTGGTTAAAAAGCTTTTCAGGCTTTTTCCACACTCAGCACGTGGGTTCTGCCTTTTCTCCTGGCACACTTCCTTACTCCTTGCATCTTCAGGCTGTTTTTGACCTGTGCTGCAGTCCAGGAGATTCCTCACAGTCTCTCCTGGAGGGTTTCCCTGTTGCTTCTTGAGGTGCTCTACTTGTTTCAGATCCCCTTGGATATCCTTTCTGATTTCTTCCACCAAGACACTTCCACACCGCCTTTCAGTCACATCACAATTCTGTACACCCTCCTCAACAGTTGTGATTCCATGTCCTGCTGGATGACAGAGAAAAGCCAGAAATAACACAGTAGGCCTAAACTATTTCTCAGACAAAGATGGTTCTTGTCAGCCCAACCTCCTCCTGTCCCCCACCATCTCACCTGGGCTGAGATCTCCTGCCATGTCCTCCAGGACATGCACATCTGGGTCCCAGGGGTCTTCCTCTCCTTCAAGCAGGGAGACCACCATAGGTTTGGGGGCTGGACATGGAGGTTAAATACAGAAGCAGAGGACGTGAAAGCATTCCGATGATTCTGGCACAGCTGCTTCTCCAACAACTCCACTCGGTGTCCCTCCCAACTTCTGTAACCACAATAAGGGCCTGGATGACACTGGGCCAACACATACTGGCTTGCTTTGGAGCCCAACATGACCTCGACGTACCTGAAAATTATGCAGGAACAGTTTCTCTAATGTTCACCTTAGGATTTCTTTTTTTAAATTGTATCCAAACTGCTTAGTGCCCAAGGCTTCATAAAGGTTTGCAATAATTCAATGGAAAAGGAAAAAAAAAAGGCAAATAACCAGAGTTGTCAGGTTGCTGGAGCACGGCGGCACAATGCAACGCAGCAATATGCAACACAGCCACACAAAGACAGCTTGCAGGAGCTGATCCAACCCCTCCCAGCTGATGGCTGCTTGCCAGCAGTGACTCTGGACCATTTCTCAGAGTTCTAAGCAGCTAATCCTTCCTGAAACATATGAGAAACTTACCTACATTTTGTTTCTGGTGCTGCCGCGTTACTCCACAAGTAACTACACTGCAATTATTCTAAGCCCTGCTTGCAGTGTCGTTCTACACAGCCAAAGGAGCCCTAACAAGGACGAAAGGCAGCAAAGCCCTCACCCAGCGAGGCCACGCACGCGTACGTCTCCAGCATCACGTCCCGGTACAGCGCTCGCTGCGCAGGGTCCAGCAGCGCCCACTGCTCCCTGCTGAAATACACGGCCACCTCTGCAAAGGTCACGGGCTCCTGCAAGCAAAGAGGCTCCTTGCTGGGAACTGCCACGGCCCAGGGAAGCAGCTGGCAGAGAAGAGAAAGGCACCTCCCTCTCCCCATGCATTCACATCCCTCGCTTGCTTGCTTCCCCACACTCCTACCTGAGATGGATGCGGTGTGGCCATTTGTTGCTCTCCCGCAGACTGCGATTGTCACAGGTGAAAGGCAGGAGTTTCACTGGAGCCTGCTGGGACGTAAGAATCGGCAGGATAGGTGTGAGGGAATGCTGCTGTCCCTAGAATCATACAATCATAGAATCGCAAGGTTGGAAATGACCTACAAGATCATCTAGTCCAACCCCCCTCCCATTCCTGTTAGTAACACAAGCTACTAAACCATATCTCCTGGCTCCTCATCCAGGCACCTCTTCAACACTGCCAGGAATGGCGACTCCACCACTTCCCTGGGCAGCCATTGCAATGCCTGACCGCCCTCGGAGAGAAAAAGTTTCTCCTAATGTTCAACCTCAACCTCCTCTGGTACAACTTCTGGCCGTTTCCTCGGGTCCTACTGTTTGCCTGGGAGAAGAGGCCAGACCCTTTTGCACCACAACCTCCCTTCAGGAAGTTGTAAAGTGCAACGAGGTCTCCCCTGAGCCTCTTCCAGAGGCTCTTCTCCACACTGAACAATCCCAGCTCCCTCAGCCGCTCCTCATCAGGTTTGTACTCCAGACCCCTCACCAGTTTCGTTGCCCTTCTCTGCACACACTCCAGGATCTCAACGTCTTTCCTGTAGTGAGGGGCCCAAAACTGAACACAATACTTGAGGTACGACTTCACCAGTGCTGAGTACAGGGGGACGATCACCTCCCTGCTTCTGCTGCCACACCATTCCTAATGCAGGCCAGGCTGCCATTGGCCCTTTTGGCCACCTGGGCACACTGTGGGCTCATGTTCAGCCCAGCACCAACCAACACCCCCAGGTCCCTTTCCTCTTCACACTCACAGCCACTCATCCCTAAGCCTGTAACGCTGCATGGGGTTGTTGTGCCCAAATGCAGGACTTGGCACTCGGGCTTGTTAAACCTCATCCCATCCACCTCGGCCCAGCGATCCAGCTTATCCAGATCCCTCTGCAGGGCCTCCCTGCCCTCAGGCAGATCGACACCACCTTCCAACTTGGTGCCATCTGCAAACTTACTCAGGGTGCACTCAATGCCTTCATCTAAGTCATCAATGAAGATATGAAACAGGATCGGCCCCAGCACTGACCCCTGGGGGACACCACTTGAAACAGGTCTCCAGATAGACTTCACTCCATTGACCACCACCCGTTGAGCACGGCCCTCCAGCCAGTTCCTTATCCAACGGAGGGTAAAACTGTCCAAGCCACGGGCAGCCAGTTTCCACAGAAAGATACTGTGAGAGACCGTGTCAAAGGCTTTGCTGAAGTCTAGGTAGACTACATCAACAGCCTTTCCCTCATCTACCAGTCTGGTCACCCAGTCGTAGAAAGAGATGAGGTTGGTCAAACACGACCTGCCTTTCATGAACCCATGCTGGCTGAGCCTGATCCTGTGGACATCATGCATGAGCCGTGTGATCTCTCCCAGGAGGATTTGTTCCATGACCTTCCCTGGCACTGATGTCAGGCTGATAGGCCTGTAGTTTCCAGGATCCTCTTTATGGCCCTTCTTGTAGATGGGAGTCACATCAGCAAGCCTCCAAGCCTCCCTGTCCAAGAACAGCCCTCCCCAGCCCTTTTGGGAGTAAATGATGCCCAGGACTCAGACCAGCAGTACTGCAGTCATCTCCAATCTTGTCAAGTTACTATTAAATCACTACCAAGTATCTTCATTATATCAATGAATATATTCCTATTTCTCCCCTAAGAGTACATATTGTAGTTGTATCATATTGTAGCTCCTCATCCAGATGCCTCTTGAACACTGCCGGGGACGGTGACTCCACCACCTCCCTGGGCAGCCATTCCAGTGCCTGACTGCCCTCTGAGAGAAAAAGCTTTTCCTTATGTTTAATCTAAACCTCCTCTGGTACAACTTGTGGCCATTTCCTTGGGTCCTGTCTGCTGCCTGGGAAAAGAGGCCAAACCCCTCCTCATCACAACCTCCCTCCAGGAAGCTGTGGAGTGCATTGAGGACTCCCCTGAGCCTCCTCTTCTCCAGACTAAACAATCCCAGCTCCCTCAGCCGCTCCTCATAAGACTTGAAGTCTTTCTTGTAGTGAGGGGCCCAAGAATTGAACACAGTACTCAAGGTACTCACCGGAGTTGAGCACAGGGGGACGATCACCTCCCTGCTCCTGCTGGCCACACTATTTCTGATGCAAGCCAGGATGGCATCAGACCTCTTGGCCACCCGAGCACACTGCTGGCTCACGTTCAGCCAAGCATCAGCCAACACCCCCAGGTCCCTTTCCTCTTCACAGTCATTCGACTACTCAGCCCCAAGCCTGTAGCGCTGCGTATTTTATTATGTGGTTGTTGTGGCCAAAATGCAGGACCCGGCACTTGGCCTTGTTGAACCTCATCGCACTCACCTCAGCCCAGCGATCCAGCTTATCTGGACCCTTCTGAAGGGCCTCCCTACCCCCATGCAGATCCACACTACCTACGAACTTGGTGCCATCTGCAAACTTGCTGAGGGCGCACTCAAATCCCTCAATCAGGTCATCAATAACGATACGAAACAAGTTGGACCCCAGTACCGACCCGTGGAAAGGAAGATCTGAGGAAGACAGAGAAGAAGGACTCTGCGCCACAGCCGGGCACCGCGGGGGCGGCACGAAGAAGCCGAAGCGACCGACGTACCAAACGGCGACCGTCCCCGCAGGAACTGCGAGATGCGGGAGCGAATCATAGCCATCAGCCGGGCGTCACTTCGTCCACGGAGACAGCGGACATGCGAGAAACGCGGCGCGGCTTCCATTTGAACGACTGCTTCCCAACGCTCCGCTCCGCGCCGGCTGCGCGGCGCCGCTCCGTGACGTCACCAAGTTCCGGCGCGCGATGATGACATCACATCGGGCTTGGCGCGGAAAGCGGTGTGCAGGCGGGGAGGAGCGGCGGTGGGTGAGTGGCGTAGCGTCCGTGGCTGTGGCGCAGAGCCGTGGGGCGGTGGGTGCCGGGCCGGGGGGGCTCTGCAGCAACTCTGCGTGGGGGCGGCTGAGAGCCGGGGATGCGGCCCGGACCGGGCTGCGCTGCGTCCCTTCCTGTCCCGTCCCATGGGGAGGAGCGTTCCCAGCGCTGCGGGAAGCGGGGGGAGAGGCTGCGGTACAGCACTCTTTGCTTACTGCAAACTTTGCGCCTTTACCACTGACACTGGCTTGGCAGCGTTCGTAGCAGTGTCACAGAATCGCTAAATTACCAAGGTTGGAAAAGACCTACGAGATCATCCACTCCAACCATCCACCCATCAGCAATAGTTCTCCCTAAACCGTGTCCCTTAACACAACGTCCAAATGTTCCTTGAACGCCCCCAGGGTCGGTGACTCCACCACCTCCCTGGGCAGCCCATTCCAATGCCTGACCACTCTAGAAAAGTAGTATTTACTAACTCCAGACTGAATCTCCCTTGGTGCAGCTTGAATCCATGCCCTCTGGTCCTATCATGAGTTACACGAGAGCAGAAGCCGACCCCCAGCTCCCTGCAGCCTGCCTTCAGGCAGCCATAGAGAGCAGTGCGCTCTGCCCTGAGCTCCTCTTCTCCAGGCTGAACGTTCCCAGCTCCTTCAGCCTCTCCTCATCAGCCCTGTGCTCCACACCCCTCACCAGCTTTGTCGCCCTTTTTTGAACCCACTCCAGGGCCTCAATGTTTTTCTTTCAATCAGGGGCCCAAATCTGAACGCAGTACTTGAGGTGCAGCCTCACCAGAGCTGAGTACAGGGGGACAATCACTTCCCTGTTCCTGCTGGCCACACTATTTATGATGCAAGCTAGGATGCCATTGGCCTTCTTGGCTACCTGGGCACACTGCTGGCTCACGTTCAGGCTCGTGTTCATATTAAACGTTTGCAAATTCCAGTTGTGAGAAATAAATGATTTTTCACAGACTGGCTTTGTTGTGAAGAAGTTTTAATTCACGATTGCAGTGGTGGGCATCCTGCTAACAGGAGCATGATGGAAAATACATCACAGCCTTATATCCCTGATCCACCAACGCCAAGAATTCCTTCCCTTTGTAGGCTAACTACTCCAGAATCTGTGTGATGCTTCGATGCTTATTATTGTATCTGCATCCTAATCCCACCAACCTTTAATCTCTCCTTCATTCTCATCAACCTTTAATCTCTCCCTCATTCTCACCTTGTAATTTGTTATCTCTTGATTATCGTGTTTGTCCCCTCCATCCATTTTCCTTATCCTGAGGTCATAGCCCCTCCCCCCCTTATCTGCTTCTCCGTCTATTATCCAAGGCTGGAGGAAGGAAACACAATTTTAACTCTCACACAGAGAATTATCAAAGATGATGGCTTCGTAAAACTTACTACACTACAAATGTTATGGACAGACATGAGGTCAGAGAGCACTTGTTGCAAATACCCAAATAACCCAGGACTGTATCTTTTTTATTTTACTGCCATTGCAATGCCAGCCATCCCACAAGCAGCAGCACACACAGAAAGCAGCATTACAGCTTTTATGCCCTACTACCCAATGCTGATCTCTTCCTCCTCATTGGCTGAGTGCTTGAGGTTCACATATGTTCCTGAGGCTCAGCTAAACGCATCCATACCTGATGAACATAAATTGTTGCTATCTAAACATGAATACTACTAATTGTTTTGCTTCTTCTCCTTCAATTCTCTATCACTCAGGTCTTGTCTATCCAGCACCGACAATTAGTAGCCTTCCAACATAATGAGCCCATTGATATCCTTGTCACACTGATTAGGAGTGCGACTTATATCTTCAGCTCAAGGCTCAGAGCTGTTCCAGAAGGCTGCACAGACCAGAGCTGCAGTCTTTGTACCAACATATTACTCCATGTATCTTCTCTCTGTGACTATAAATTACTTCACCTATCTGCTGAGCGTGCCAAGACTATCAGAGACCCCCAGTGAAGTAAAAGGCTCTCCTGAAAAGAACTGTTAGTAAAATATTTATCTTGTTAGTTCTAATGCAGAAACAACTTCCCAGTCCTACAATTTCCCCCTTTTCTTCTTTATACATTGTTGATTTCTGCATTTTTTTTTCTCAGGTATTGTTTTATTGACATCTCCCTCTTCTTTACTTTCTTAGTTACCCATCTCCCCTAATATCATAATTTCATCCAAATATGGTGGTAGCTCAATTGGCGTTTGCTTCAGTTGCTCTCCTGACCAGTCACTCTACCAGTCCCCTCACACAGGGGATAACACAGCAACCAGTGGTTGCTGTCAGGGTTCCTGCTACTATAATCAGAGAAGTAAACATGGATACATACAGCCCTTTCCATTTACCAAACCAGGACTTCAACCATCCGTTGACAGAAGTATCTTCTCCTGATTATTCTGTTAATTCAGCAGCAAGGGTGGTAGGCCCTTGCAGTGCCTTAGTTATTCTGCCATCTGGAGCTGTGTTACTAGGGATGAAGGTGCGACAGTGGGTACCTAGCATTACGCACGCACCCCCTTTTTCAGCTAACATCATATCTAGTCTGATCCTATTTTCTCAGGCCATCCTACTTGTGGCACCTAACTGTTCCTCAGTTCCCCTTATCGCACCCTTTGTATAGTTTATAAGTTGCTGTTAATTATAATGGATGTAGTGAATTCAATCTACGTTCTCATTGATCAGCATCCACCAAAGCAGTGACTCGAACTCTGCAACAGTTTGATTTCTCGCCTTATGTTCATCAGGGACTCCAAGAAGTGGAGAGTTAAAACTGTCAGCTTGCCCACAAACTGAAGAATTACTGATACTAATTTACTTTGCAATGTTTTTCACAAGAGATACGTATTTGCATCAAAAGCCACACTTAACAAATTAATATTAATTAGAAGAGCCCGTATTTACTGTCTTTGGATTTGTAGGATTTGGATCCAGCTGCCTTCAATTCCCATCATGTTCGAGGGACCTTCTTGCCTCTAGTTTGATGTATCCACAGTGGTTGTTCTTTGATTTTGATTTTAAACTTTTAATTCTGACTGTTGTTTGGGACGTTAGCAGCACCTGGAACAGACCTTGGTTCCAGGGGTGAACCTGAAAGAGATCTAATATATATACACACAATCTCCTGGTAAAATATTATGGATTGAGCCACCAAGGCTTCAGGATCTAGTTCCTAGAACCACTTTATTTCCCTAAGCTATTTCTGTAGACTTATGACACGTTCAGTTAGTATTTCACTCCCTACCTTTTGCACAACAAAAGGCCTTTTGTACTTATTTTGTGTTCTGTATGTTGAAAGGACGTAATCCCTCTTTGGCTCTAGATTTCGTTCTGATCCTCAGGAGGGCCAAAGGTAATGACTGTGGCTGATATAATCCAGGCTCCTGGCCCTGTGATTTAATCAGGTGGTTCATCTTTTTTTCCTTGCATGTCAACAATTCTTGCTCTTTCCAGATGGTACTTTGAGCGTGTACCACTCCAAATACATATTTAGCATCTGTCCATATACCTAAGGCTCTTGTCAAGGCAGTTATTTCAGCCTTCTGAGAGAAAGTTCCCACAGTTAATGGTTGTTCTTTGATTACCTTGTCAGTAGCAATTACTGTAAATCCCGCCTTGCAGTTTCCTTGTCTCACAAAACTGCTTCCATCAGTGAATGCAGGAATCCTCAGCATCATCCAATGGTTCCTCCTGTAGGTCTGGCTGACTGGCATAGGCAGTCTCCAAGCAGTCACATACTGGCAGCTCAGAGATAGCTCCATGTTGGTGTTCTGAGCATTCAGCAAATTGCTTCCTTCCTCTAGATCAGCCGGGCTTTCTGTTGAGAGACTTGATAATCATTTAAACTAAGAAATTTGAAATTCAGCAAACTCTCAGTCCATTGCACACAGTCCTCATTTGTTGCTGTAGCATCCATTACCGCAGTAAAGTTCCACCCTAGGATGGAGGAGCCCAAGTCTCAAGCTCACAAGCCGACCAGTTCTCAAAAATCACTGGTCTGTTCTCACAACCCTGGGTAACCCTGTCCAAGTTAACTGACTCTTTTCTTCCCCTTATTGGGGTTTTCCTATTCAAAGACAAATAAATATATGCTTCATTTCACCAAACCAGTCAAAAAGGCATCATAGAATCATAGAATCCTTCAAATCATAGCATCCTTCAAATCCAGACAGTAAACTCCACCTACTCGTTCCTTAATTTGCTTAATTAAAGTGTATGGATTTGCTACCACTGGGTGTAACTATTCAACTATTCTATTACTTGCCTTCAAGTCTTATACCAAACTACAGCTTTTGCTATCCGATTTTTCATCAGTAAGATTGGGGTGCTGTATTTGGAATCACATTCAATTAGTGATCCAAACTCCAGAAAATTATCTGTTATTTCTTTTATCTTTCTACAGTCTCGTATCCTCAAAGGGCACTGCTTTATCCTGACTGGACTGGTGCCTGCTTTTAACTTATCTTCTACTGGGGCTGCATTTTTGGCTCTGCTCGGCATCCATGATGCCCACACTCCTGGGTATGCCTGATTCAAGATTGCTGTCACTCCCAGGGGTACAGCATTGTTTTTCCTGGTTTGTGTTGAAGCCAGACGTTAAAATTTTCAATCTGTTGGTCTTGCTTTACTCTTAGCCCACCAGAAAATAAACCTGTTTAAGCTGCTTCCCTCGCTGCAATTTAATCCGTGTAACCCTAGTAGTGGGTCTGCTATGGTGAGACTTTCCAGGTTCTGGCATTCAGCTTTTGCGATCCCCTCAGCTTGGTGCACCTTCTTCATCTGTGCCCCATTTCCCTGGTGTCTGCACGCTGTTTTCAGTCCACTGGGTGGGGCAGA